CATGAATTTATAACAAAACATATATATTTTAAAAACTTTAATTTTAATTTAAAAGAGTAGTCATAATTCAATATTATAAAATTAACGATGCATAATAAAGTTTCAATTTTATTTTTATTTTTTTGCAAAAAATAAAAACATATTTTAAATTTAATTTTTGAAACAAAAGGAAAATATTAGAAAGTAAACTAATATATATCTTACATCACACCATCTTCAATCAAATGATCAATAATCTTATTTGGATTAGAAAAGAAATCAGAGACATCCAAATGAGTCGTATCAATTGGACCATCATAATCAACACAATTTGTCTTCACTTTTTATTCTCTCCTAATTATTTTTTGTAGAAATATACAAAATGTTTTGACGTATGATAGGTAAGTGTCCAATGCCTTTTCATTCTACATTTAAAGTAACTTTTTTCGTATTCATTTTTGGATGTACTACTTTGTTTGTTTTGTTCTTTTGAAATTGTAGCCTTGTTGCTGATAGCTTTGCTAATTATTTCATCCATGATCTATTCCACATGCACGTTCACGTCTATGTCCAAATTCGTGTTCACGTCCTTGTCTTGATATTGCATTTGTTTTAGGCAACTTTACAAAATCAATTAGATGTAACCCATGATTTTTCGTTAACAACTCATTATTTATTCACTCACAAGCAGACAAGATATGAATTAAGTACTTTTTAAAATCACGCTCACAATGTTGTTGTAGGAGCACATTCGAGACATGAAAAATGGAAAAAATTTCTCCAACATATCTTCTTGAGTGATTTTTCTATACATAAGGTTAATTTTAAATATATTCTGAACAGTTCATGATTGTACTCACTAACAGTTTTGAAATCTTTCAAATGAAGATGCATAACTCATGGCGAGCTTTCGGGAGGACTTATAGTCATCTGATGATCAAATCTTTCAGTTAATTTTTTTTGAAAGAATTTGTGGATCTTTTTCAGTGAGAGATTCGATTTTTAATCCATCATGAAGATGATGACGAAAAAAGATGAGTGCTTTTGCATGATCATGAAAGAATTTTTTATTTTCTTCTTTTATTGTCTCTCCAAAATATTTTGAGACAAAATGAACATCAATATCAAATACCTATGACAGATAATTTTTGTTATGTATATTAAGGAGTAAATTTAACCAATAATCACTGAACTTTACACTTGATTACTACTTGCTCACTCATCTTTCACATATTACTGAATGCTCACTCATCTTTTCATATAATTACTCATTCATCACTCGTCTCTTCAAATAATTGGGCGACTTTTACGACAAATTTTCGACAACTTCCGACCACAAAAAATGTCGAATTTTGATATCGTTGGAAAGCCCACGATGTCCTCTTCAATTACCATCCAAAATCTCATTATAACTCCAAGGGATTCGATCGAAAAATTGCCTTAAAAGTCGCCCAAAAATTCTGAAAATCTGCCCAGATTTTCAGATTTTTTGGACGACTTTTAAGGCAATTTTTCGGCAACTTTCGACCATCAAAACTATCTAATTTTGATACCATTGGAAAGCCCACAATGTCCTCTTCAATTACCATCCAAAATTTCCCGATAACTCCAAAGGATTCGATCGGAATAAACTCACAAAGTCAGCATCCCGAATTTTGTCCAGATTTTCGCCTTTTCAAGGTGCTGATTTTGTGGGTTTATTCCGATCGAACCCTTTGGAGTTATGGGGAAATTTTGGATGGTAATTGAAGATGACATTGTGGGCTTTCCAATGGTATCAAAATTCGATAGTTTTGATGGTCGAAAGTTGCCGAAAAATTGCCTTAAAAGTCGTCAAAAAATCTGAAAATCTGGGCAGATTTTCAAAAATTTTGGGCAACTTTTAAGGCAATTTTTCGATCGAATCCCTTGGAGTTATAATGAGATTTTGGGTGGTAATCGAAGAGGACATCGTGGGCTTTCCAACGATATCAAAATTCGACATTTTTTGTGGTCGGAGTTGTCGAAAATTTGCCGTAAAAGTCGCCCAATTATTTGAAGAGACGAGTGATGAATGAGTAATTATATGAAAAGATGAGTGAGCATTCAGTAATATGTGAAAGATGAGTGAGCAAGTAGTAATCAAGTGTAAAGTTCAGTGATTATTGGTTAAATTTACTCGTATATTAAGTACAGTAAACTCAAGTTTTGTGATACTTGCCATTTGATTAAATACACAATAAAGAAATGCAATTAATTTTTACATATACGATTGAACGTCATATAATAATTAATCAAATTGTCAATATCAACATTTCATAAATTAAGTGTTTTCTTCAAAGATAGATATTAAAAAAAAATTTATTTAAGACATGCTATTTCGAGTGCATGTGGTATTTTACTATTATTTCATCGAGAGTAATATGTTAATATTTTTTTAGAATATTAAAAATTATAATTTATATTATTCAAGAACAATTAATATTCTTTAAGAATATTAATTACAATGTTGTACTACTTAAGGAGTACAACAAATTATTTATAATAGACTGATCTAGGATTTATACTCTTCTGAAATATTAAGTACAATGTTGTATTACGTTAGGACCAACAATATGATAAGTTATCAATTTAAAATTTATAGAAGAACATCTAAAAATATTTAATAAGATAAAAAAAAATATTAATTACTATACAAATATGGTATAAACTTTATATAAAAACTAATTATCAAACATAATGATTGCGATACGAATTTATACAAATTTCGGTACAATGTACGGAATGCGAAATTATGAAGTTGTGTGTAAAGAAAAAAAAAGGTTCCCACGTGCATTAAAAAAAATGAAAAAAAAGGAGAAAAAAAAAAAAAAGGGGAGTAATCATTATCCACCATATACACTATAACTTTGAACATAGACCATGGAATTATGTGTGAACTATTAAACACTATTAATTTGGCAGACAATTAATTGGGAATTTGGGGCAGAGTGGTACGCACAATTGATTTGGACAAATTGAATATAATTGCCTTACAAAGATAAATCAACCGAAATTTCGTAAAGTAACTTTTAACATCATAGATTGAATGTGAATTTCGACCAATTACGACATAAAGTTGAAATGTACACAAATTAACGTGCTATATGCACATGTATAAAAAATTCACATGTCATCAAATTAATTTTTAGTATATGTTATAAATAATTTTGCTTAAAAAAATGCTACATTCACAAGATTTTGAAAAATTAAGTTTTTGTGCTAACGTGTTATGAAAAAGAGAAGAGAGAATAAATGTCAGGAGAGAATAATTTAATTTATCAATGCAGTTTCTACATTAAAGAAAATAATAAAAATATAAAAATATTAGTTCTAGAAATTTCTACCGGTAGTTAAACGACAGTAAAAAAATTTATTTCAAATCAGAACAAAATTTCATTTAGTAATATTACAAAATAATATTTCCTGACAAATTTTGTCCAAAAGTAATACTAATAAAATATAAAGTTAAATATATATAAAGAAAATTTTTATTTGGAATAAAATAAAAGTTGTTAATATCATAATTAAAATATTAGGTGATGAAATATTAAAAGATAAAAAGAATGTGAACAAAGAATAAAAATCAATTTTCGTCAATGATTAACGATTAAAGTGCCTTCCATGATAGTCAACGAAGTCACGGATGATGTCTTCATAGGTAATTTTTGACAAGCGTATATTGATAATTATATGCACTATCGCGTGAGCACACACATATATAATCACAATGGTTAAAATGTAATTTTTTGAGATGGATGTATAACTATGGCCAACGTTAGGATTTCCACGGTTGGTGGCTTTGCTTAGGTCCTAGTTTTGATAGCCCATTTAATAACTTCGTCCGTTTGAGACTCAAATGCACAGAGAAGAACGACGAAAATGTCGGATTGAAATCTTTCTCATTAATTAATTCAATGGCCACGACAATTAACTACCAAAGCACCATCGTTAATTGTTGATTACGTCACGAACATTGTGAACAGTAATCATTTACAAGTGTGCATCGATAATCGTTTACAAAAGGTTCTTATTTATGAACTAACCTACCTTGACGAAAAAATAAGAAAGAATGCTTGATATTCTCTCATATGGACTAGGATTCATGCAAAATTAGAGATTACAAAAAAAACTCGCCCCTTCCGGTGAAAAGGAAAGAAAAAAGAAGTTAATTTGAGCGTTATTTATTTTGGATTTTAAAATTTTGGATTTGCATTTTATTTTCTAATAATAGCATAATTTGAAATTTTGAAAATATCATAAAAATAAAAAAGAAGGTAACAAACGGGGCAAGCCTGCCACCCCGCCCCATCTAAGACAGGGTTGGACAAGGTCTAAACCCGACCCATTGCCATATGTGGGACCCATGTAAATTAAAAGGACAAAAAAATCCTCCCCCCAACCCCCCCCTCTCGAACTCCCTATTGTGAGAAGGCTTCCAGGAAGTGCCAAACTCTCCCTAGTAGCCCAACACAATTGCTTATTTATAGGCGGTTTTCAAATGGGAAATTTCATTTGTACCAGAGCGTTTACACGCCTCTCACATGGGAGCGTGTAAGCACCCGGGTACAAGTAGCTCGATCATTTTCAAATTATGTTGTGACAAGGCTTCGCTCCAACAGTGCATTGATTGTCCATTGTGAGAAACATGGATTGTCAGGGAACATTGTCAAGATGTAAAACTTTTGTTAATTGTCTTGTCACAAAGTCCTCATTGATTCTTGAACTATCCAACATGCCTTAGGAATCTTATTTTCAAACACTAATTTGTGCGTTTAATGCTATTAATGACGAGAACTACCGATACCAACCCAACGTGACATACATGTGACAGTTTATTATTTGATTTATTCTTCTCAAAATCAAGTGGTAAAGAATAACATTATTCATGGTAAGGACTACTCATACCCACCCTACATGACATACATGTAACAATTTGTTATTTGATGAATTATTCTTTACTGCTTGATTTTGAGAAGAACCCGAAGAATAAAATGTAATCAGCACAATTCAAACTCCGGAGTCTCCATTGGAACAAATTTATAGAAATATTTCTGAGACACATATCCCATCAAAGATTGACGTGAAGGATGACCAAGAACGACTCTGTGTAGACGCTTCTAACCTCCCTACTATGTCTCGTCATAATAACAACCCTATCACAACAATGATACATGTAGACGTCTCCTCAGACTTTGTTTCTGAACCAATTGACGAGAACTGAGAAGTTTTTAAATTCCAAATGACACCGATAACTATATCTCCACAGCACAAAAAGAAGTTTTCAATATGAAAGGGTAGAGAGGCTTCCCTTTTCCTGAATACGCACTTTTCTTCTTCTGATAGAGATGCTTTAATCCCCAAAAACAGACATGTCCCATCCACAAAGGTTTGGATTTGCTACAGAAGACGACTTCAGAAAATCTGCATCAAAAACAAGATTTTAAAAGACCAAACCTATTAAAGTACTGCATGCAAGACTCCACAGAATGGCAACGTTCTCGACTTTTAGCCCTCTACACTTGCTTTATTATTTGATCTAGGCCTATAACTTTCGGAAAATTAAAGCAATCAGTCTGTAATGCCACCAATTCTGTATTTTTCTTTCTTCTTCTTTTGATAACAATGTTACTCCTTAGAATAGGCGTGACTTTATTCAAATGTAAATCCAGTAAATTACAAAAATTCAAAATGTTCAATTAAACATGATAAGAACACGAGTATAATGGGCACATACTGCTGTGTTAGGGCTTAGTAGGCATGGAATTAAGCCCTGTTTGGCCCCCATTTCTTGAAGCTCATTTTAAACCACACATTTCATGGGATCCACAACTTTTATCAACTTTTCGATCACAAATTTCATTAACTTTTAACAAAATTTATTAAAAATCTGATTTTCATCTAAACCAAACAGGGGCCAAGACTTTTCACGAACTAATTTCAATTCAGCCCAATTTCGTGATCCATATAACCTCAACTTTTCTCACTATGAACAATAGAAAGAGCCTGAATCTGCCTTGTAAAAGACTCGAGGAAAAGAAAAATACATTAAGAATTTAGTGATGTCAAACCCGAATTCGATATTAATATAAAACATTGTAAAATGGAAATTTACAATTGAAAACGTACCCCACTAAGAGCAAAAGGGGGGAAATAGAGAAAAATATCACGTCATTTCCCCTCCTTTTCCATCCCAAAAAAATGTTTATCATTTTATACATGGAAAAAGTTAACAAAAGGAACAATATTTTCCAAGACAGAGAAAATTTGCATGCAAAACCAAGTCACTTCCTCCACCATATACGAAGGGTGATACTAAAGATGCTGAAGTAAATAGAATTTGTCTCCCAAAAGAAATCTTACAGGTACACATTGCATCCATGTCTTCAAATTTCCAAAATATAGAAGAAATAATCAGTTTCTTTTTGCTGTTGGGGGTAGTTTCTCAGAAGGGCCACAAGGAAGCTTTTGCCCAGATTCTCGTTCAATTCTACTCTTCAGCTCTCGTAGTATTTTAATTTGACTAAGCTTTTCAGGAGAAAGCTTGTCCCAATAGATACCTTTAGAGAACATCAGAAAGGTGATTATATCTAAAATCATAATCATAAGGGGAAAAAAATAATGAGAATGGATTTCCAGATACAGAGAGAGCAGTGTGGTCAAATAATAACTTCTAGAAAATTATTGACAAGCTATTGGAGGCTAGAAATATAAAGATGGAGTTAAGTTGATCCCAGTATGAATATTAAATCACTCATATAACAAAAATGATAGGGATCAAAAATAAAGAAACAAGAAAAACGTAGTTCAGTCGATGGAGAGAATGAGGAAAATCAACTATAGAAATACTAATTAGGAGAATATAAAAGAGAGAAATAATCCTATAATCTATTTATAGGATTATAAACTATACACCTGAATAAAATCCCACATCTATGCATACAGTTATGATTCCCTTATGCCACTCTACAATGTGGGGGCTCACCACCTACACCCGAAGCACTGATCAAAGCAGGTAAACGTGAAGATTGAAAACAAACACCATATTCCTAGTCCACTCCTCACATTTACTGCCCTAAAATATTTCTAAATGAGCTGTCATAAGCACTTCTAACTATGCAGGCAATTGAACAAGAACCAAAATTATAGAAGAAGAGATAAGAAAAGGAGGAGAAAGGGGGAAGTTACAGAAGAAAGGAGAAGAAGGGGAGACGGAAGAGAGAAAAGTAGAGAGAAAGACATCGAGAGAGAGAAATTGATCGTATGCACTTCAGTAATCAAACTGTAAGTTACAACGAAAAGCCTACCCATACTTATAGACTTAAAGTTGAACTTCTAATAAATAAGGAAAACTACTAAACTAATAAAAGATAATCTCTCAACATAAAATATAAATTCTCTTCCTAAATAAGTCTCCTATATTGGCAAGTCTTCAAGGGAATATCCAATACGATCCCCATCAACTTTCCTGTCAATTATAATTAAAAATGATGACACATGGAGTGATTGCATTGGTCGACTGTCAACTTTCTAGGTGGAAAAACACATTTGGAATGGAAATCTTCTCATTCATGAGATAACTGAAAGGTCTCGTACTTTTGGAAAAAAATCATGACTGTCTACTATCTAGATAAGAAAATGTAGCATGCAAATCAGTATACTGTAGATAGACTTTACTCAAAATATAATACAACTATCATAGTTATACGGCTGGATTAACCCATATTAAACAGCAAAGTTTGGGAAAAATAAATTAAGCAACAGCATTTATATAAAATATTAATGGTAAAATTTTAGTTTATCACTATTTCAAATGTAATTAATACTTCAATTATAAGAGTGAGATAAGATTACAAGAAGTTATTCAAAGATTCATAAAATTTCCGCATCACAGCAAGACTAGCATTTTTAGGGGCACCAACGGAAAATAGTTGAACACTTCTCATATAACAGCAACAACTAATAAGTAGTCAATATTCTTATAACCTTAGGAGTCCAGTCCATTTATATAATCTCATGCAGCCTAAATATAGGAGGGTCTATATGTGTGTTTTAGTAGTGTATTGGTAGTGTAATCAAACGTTCCCCCCAAGTCAAGGAAATAAGGTCCCTCTCTACTTCCCTTGCCTCTGTGTCTGATGTTAATGAATTGCTTTTCATGACTTCGCATTCCCATTCTCTACAGGGATCCACATGCCACAAATCTCTTCAAGTTCATAATGTTCACACGGAATGTGACAATATGAATTTGAGAACTAACGACGAGAAAGGAAGAGTTGCAAGATCCTACTACTGACCTTGAGGATTTGGAATAGATGTATTGGTGAAGATGACTTGGGTTGGAGTGCATATGATGTCAACAGGGACATCGTGTACCAACAACTTCTCAACGGGAATATCATCAACCAGTTGTTTGTCATGCACTGTAACAGTAATTGACAAAATTGACTTGATGAAAATAACAATAAACCATAATATATTGTCATGGCTCAAAACAATACAACGTCAACATAAATATTAGTAGTTTCATACCAAGCTGGGTCACAAGATATCTGTTTGCAGTGTGTATAGGCTCAAGGATAAACATACAACTCATCTATTTGATACTGATTAAGAAAAATAATTGTCATCACAATGCAACCAGGGGGAGATAATGCTATACCCCCCTTACATACAGTGTCGTACAGTATCCCATTTGTTGTCCTAGAGCTCACAATCACTCAAATATCCACCCCTATATATATTGATAATCTTCCACTTGTAGATTTGCTATTGTGGCAAGTCAATTAGGAAATGATCATTCAGCAAATGGCACTGAACTACTTCCTAGCATCTGAGGCAGAGGAAATATCAAGGTTCAAGGACTTCATACCAAAGTCATGTTTGCAGGCTTCTCACTACTCAATATTGGCATTATGATTGAACAACTGAAATTAGATTTAAAGGGCATAAAGCTAAAGCTTTCTAGAAAAAATGGTGGAAGTTCATCATAGGGGTCATAGAAACTCACCAGATGTGACAACTAATGTTGAGTCATCAATTGAACCCATGTAGTGCAGCATCCCATATTCAAGTTCAGCAAATCCCTACACCATGAATTTTTGTAATAAACATGAACTTTTTTAGAACTGAAAATCCAAGCTTTAAAAAAGAATAATCACCGAGTTATTCAAGTTTTTGAAGAAATTGCACATCGCTTTTGCCGCATAAAAGACAAGTTTAAGACAGTTGCAGGCTGTTTCAATCAATAACATATTTAAGTCGTGAAATTGTGTCCTTCTTATGCACCTAGTCACCCCTGTTTAAAGGCTATTTTTTAATCATTCCAAGAATAACAATCTCTTCAAAACCAGAATGAATTCACATCTCATTTCATGTTCAAAAAAGACACCGGATGCAAAGGAAGGGGAGGGCATACCTCACCCTTGCCAAGTCTTGCCCCTGTCTTTGGGTCAACAGCAACAGAACCAATTACAATTAGATCCACTTTTATCTTCTCATCTAATCCAATCGGCCTTCCATATTTGGCTACTCCCACAGAAGTACAAGCCTCCTTGATGGTGCTGGGACTCAACATAGAAGACTCAAGAACAGAGAAAAATCCAGTCCTGAGGCGGGGCTGTGGAGTTAATAGTTTCTTGCCATCTGCATGCCAACAGATATGTCGAAGCTTAAGCAAAACTATCAGCAACTATCAAAGCCACCTACCTTCTTTCAACGAGCATTATATTCTTCGCATTCTTCCAGCATCCTAATATATTTACGATTATGCTATTTCTATCATCAATTTTTTTACACGTTATTAAACTAGCATCTCTACGTTGAGTCATTGACATAGATCAAAACAAGCCTCACCAGTGGTTTAATATCACATAATGTATTATACATGGGGATCATTTTCATTTATCTCTTGACCTAATGGTAAGTATCACCTGGCCACCATAACTATTTGTTAGGGTTCTCCAATTTTTCATAATAACCTAAAAGCCCATATCTACGACTTGTAGATTTACAACATTTTCATTTTATACTATTGATACCACTCATTTACCAGTATAATTCCCATCTAAATAAGAAACCGAGTTTCACTTAAATCTAAGTAAGAACTTAATTATGATTAAAATTTTATATTCAAACTGCTAAATAATTCTTCAGCAACTTAATTTAATATTCAAATCTATGCCAAATGTAATATAAATTCATTTCCCTGAAACTGAATACATCCATTACTCCTATCAAGTGACATTTTCTCATAAATCAGAGAGGCTAAATGAAAATTACCTAATATTAGATCACCAAAATAAGGAAGGGCAGGGGGGGAGTCAATATAACCAAAAATTCAATCAATTAAACAAAATGAGAAAATAGAGTTTTGGCAGCAATAACCTGAGATTAGGCATATTGATTCAAATAAAACAGACTTATAACATAAGACAACAACCGCTGGCAAGAAAATAATACAGGTAGAATATCAAATCCTTAATGCAAAAGTATAGCTTTTATTTAAAGATACACCAAAAGATTGAGAGGAAATATCAAAATGTGGAATACTCATGGGCACAATATGGATATAATATCAATATGTTTGTATTTGAAAAAGGTATTTTCAAAATAGCAAGTGAAGTTGGAAAAAAATAAAAAATCATTATAGGAAGATTCAATGTATTTAATAACTTCATTTAATTGGAGAAGCCACAATTTATGTAATGCTAAACCCCTCATATGCTTGGTATTTTGTTAAACTTCCCCTTTATATCATTAATCATAAACATTCAAATGCGTTCTTATGACAAATGGGAAATAGATGGGCAACAAACAGATGGACTGGTACATTCCCACAAGTGTGGTAGCCAAGTAGTAGTTTCTTTAGCTCGAAGGTGAAAAATGAAAAGTAACCTAACCTTATCCATTGTCAATCAAATCAGGGCATCGGTGCAAGAGCATGATTATGTCTTAAAATAGCTGTCAACGGCTAAAGTACAATATGTGTGTTTGAGCCAAAAAAATAAATAATTAAATAGCAGCCCACAATATACAAGTATGTGTGCAACAAAATAAGGTCAGACTCATAGTTCATAGTTAAAGCTTAAAAGAGTTCCTTTCCAACCATAACAAACATCATTCATCACTGTGGTAAATATTTATTGATTCAAAACTAACCATTCAGTGTGAGGAGCCTCACTTGCTTTTGTGGCGTATCTGGATTCACTTTCACACATTTTGCCTTCTTAAACACCTCCAATTCACTTAACTGCCGAACCCCACAAGTCCATTAACAAAAAATCAACACAGACAGTGAAAGAATTGGATAAATTCCAACAAAATGAATGTTCAACTATTTACTTTAGTGGCAGCAAGTGGCGCTCCAACAAAATTGGGTATTCTGTGATGAACGGGACGGGGGAACTGAGCAATGTTCTGCGCCTCCATCAAGTCCCATACCCGATTTCGAATAACCCATTTCCATGCCTTCGGGTCGTCCTCAATCTGAACCCCCTTTGAAGATTTATCTGCCATGGAGTTTCGTGCCTCGGCGTCTAGCCTCAGTCGCTCCGCCTCGTAAGCTTCGTCGTTGAACACTGTTTCGTTTTTGCCTCTGGTTACATAATTTTTGGTACTATGGATCATGAGATTGAATTGCTTGAAATGGGAATTCTTGGTTGTTGAAATGGTGGGGAATTTAAAGGTATGTTTCGATTTAAGGGCGTGTTTGGAAGTGAATCCAAGTACTGATGAAATATTGAGTTCATGAGCATCCATTATTAGAGGAGAGTTGCGGTCCAGTTGCGCCATGGTTGTGCCGATAAACCATTTAATAATAATAATAATAATAATAAATAATAATCTCAAGACATTCATAAAAAGGTCACTTTTTTTTTTTTTTCACATTGTAAGAATGTCATTTTAAGACATATTTGCCCTGAAAGATAATTTCAAATTTCCTACATATCCTAATTAAATGATATTTGACCCAATGGAAAAATTGTACAAAAATCTTGTCAATGTCAGTGATGAAAAGTTGGAAAAAAAAGTGATGAATCTAATTTCTCTCATTCAAACAATCCTAACTCTCTCTCTCTCATTTCTCTTATTACGGACTTCGATTCAAGAAAGAAAAATCTTATTTTTTTATTCAATTTTTGTAATATTTTCAGCTGTAAAGGGTTTATGAGATGCGAAAAAATAGAGCTTTTTTCTGGGTTTAAAATAAGAGCTTGAATTTGGATTAGAAAGAGGTAAAAATCCGTTTAATATTATGTAATTTTTTTTAACGTTTTGAATAATTTCTGGCTGTGTTATGGTTGAAAATGTTTTTCCCCTACTTTCTATAATTTCGTACCATAAATTTTAATTTTCTTTTTTGTATACATTTTCTATTAGTGATGCATATATGCACACGTTACATGTGCTAACACTAATGTTGAGGAAAAAAATTATCTAGAGTTCCAGTTTAATATTTATCTTCTTCATTTGCTTTCAAAGTTCAGATTTCAATCATTTTGGATGTTTCAATGCTGGGTGAAAATGTGGATTGACACTTGACATATCTTTTGTTTCAATATTTTTGGTACTTTTGTGATGCAGAAATAACATTGCTATCACTTGGAATCCATTTGTTGTGGATAGTACTCGTATTTTGGTTGAACTCTTGCTAGACAGTTGACATCATATCTTTGGTTTTAATGTTTCGTTATGCTCGAATATGGAGTGAAATAACTTTCAATAATACCTATGTGTTTAGAGGTGAAAAGTAGATTTTTCGATAGTTCATCTGTTGACAGTTCACTAATGTAGAGAAATGACATCGCGCCTAACTGTCCCGACGGTTAGCCTCAGTAATTCTTGATAGATGAACTAGTCGACAGATGAACTGTCAAGAACGACAGTTCAATCCTTCCCTCCGCTCAGTTCTACAAGTTAAACTTTGGTTCATCCTAACGCTGCATGAGTGTTTTGCATGAACATATATAAAATGTTATGATCTCACAATTTTTTGATTGATTTGTCCGTATGTGGTAAGAATGTCAAAAGGGTCGAGTCGCTCGTCGGCTCATCGAAATAGGGCTCGTGGGTGGCTCGAACTCGTAAAATCACGAGCCTGAGCGTGAGCCGAGCGGGCTTCACCGGGCTCGGCTCGTTAAAAATGGCTCGTGGCTCGTTTCAACGACGAGCAACGAGCCACGAGCTGAGCATAAGTGACCATTTGGTCACTAAAACTTTTTTTTTCCCCTTCTACTATGAATACTCCTTAACCCCCCCTTTTTTTCATATCAATCACTTAATCACTACTTCAACTCTTTCAACTCTCTTTTATTATATCAATTATCGAGTTTTTTCTTTCTTGTGCTGTAAAATATACAATATCGATTCAATTTTTACAATTTATTACTTACAATTTCAATTCATCCAATTCTCAATTCTCACAATGTCACGACATTTATATTTTTCTAGTTATTTTATTTGAATTTCATCATAAACAATCAAACAAATGGACCAACGCTCATTTGTTGAGAGCTTATTTGATATGGGATGTGGGCCACATCATGGTGAATCGCCTAAAACGCCGCAAAGTCAATTTCCAAATGAATTTGTCGATCTGAATGATGTACCCATACCTGAGGATGTTCACATTCACAGTTAGGGAAGGCACAATCCAATTGATTTGCATGATATTAACGTTCCCGAAACTGAACATGAGGACGAAAATGTCGAATTAAACATCCCACATGCGAGGGGAAAGCGAAATGGCAAAAAAAAACAAAATTTTGGTATCACTTTAAGTTGATTTCAATGGGAAAAGTCGTCGATGGCCTTGAAAAATCTAAAACAGTATGTAAATACTGTCAACAAAGATTGACATGGCAAAAAGGAATTGTTACCACCCATCTCAACCGCCACTACAAAGCATGTGCGGCCAGACATGGACTTCTTCCAACTGGTGAAACACAATTGCAACTTGACAGTCTAGGCGCCGGTTCTACGACTTCACCCATATCCACATGGGTGTATTCAGAGGACAATACTTGAACCGAAATGGTGAAATTTGTTACCACCACCGAGTTGCCTCTAGCTATTGCTTACAACCAACACTTCGTCTCGTTCGTAAAAGAATATCTGCAACAAAGGTACGTTGGGGTAAGTCGAAACACTCTTCGTGTCGATACAATACAATATTTCAATAATTCAAAATAACAATTAATTATGGATTTACAACAATATGGGGGTGTTATATCTTTAACTTCTGATATATGGGAAGGGGTTAATAAAAAAACATATATAACTGCAACTGCACACTATATAGACCCACATTGGTGCATGCATAAAAAAATTATTGCTTTTATAATTATTGAATTTTCTCATAATGCTAATAATATATATAATACGATTATCAGTATTGTTAGAGAATATAATAGCGAGACTAAAATTTGGTCTTTTACTTTTGATAATGCTAGTGTTAATAAGGTAGTCGTCAATAAATTGTGTAGGACACTTCAACCTAATTTTGGTGGGTATTTGTTTCATATTCGTTGTATGTATCATATCTTGAATTTAATTGTACAAGATGGCTTAAAACATATAAATGATGAACTTTAAAGGATTAAAAATGTATTAGTATATATTACGATTTCTTCTAGTAGAAAACAAGAAGATATATTTGTTTATGTTTCATTTTTTTAATTTCTTTTACCCTTTTTTTATTCACCCAAATTCATATTAATTAATATAATACACATTTATCCATATTTTTTATATATAAAATAAATAATCACATTAACAAAATCAACTCCTTCAAATCAATCATTAAATGCTAATGAAAATTTGTCATTAGGGCTAATTTGGACATTTCACACAAAAAAGTGACATTTTTGCTCACATAAAGTGAAAATGACAACATTTTGGGACCTTGTTAATTTTGTAACATTTTTGAAAATTCCCCTAATAATAATAATAGAGAGTTGCGGTCCAGTTGTGCCACAGTTTTGCCAATAAACCATTTACTAATAATAATAATAATAATAATAAATAACTTAAAATTAAATTTAATAACTTGACTTAGTGCCCCAATATAGTGTTGATTAAAATCAAATATTTAATAAATTTTAATAAAAGTTGAAACATGTAGTTAAAAAATTGTGAATTTCATAAAATATTTGATTAAAATTAATCGTTGATTTTGATTTGAATTTTTATCAACTTTTAATTTATATGTTGTTTGGTTCGGATTAAAGTTTGATTTTAAGTCAAAATCAAATAATCAATATTAACCAATCTTTTAAAGGTCTCACAACGTTTTAATCTCAAAAAAATCTATCACAATCTACTAAAAAATCTAATTTTAATTCCCACCAAACGCTTTATTACAATCATACAAGGACAAATATGTATGAGAACACAGTGGAAATCCGTTCTCATTTTGCTCTCGAAGCAAAAAATAATTCTATCCAGAACCAATATTTATCTTTGAATCTTGAATTCTTAACCTAAATATGCACAATGAACAAGCCAGTTATCCAAAGAACTGCACATTATTAATAAATTAATTCAACATAACGAACTTTATAAAGTTCTTCATTCGTTAATGTCATGTCACCTCTTGGCAGCTACAGTTAAGGCAGTAACGAGCTAGACGTGCAAGTCAAGCAGTAGCTATGGTACATTTAGAAGTCACTAATAACATAGGGAAAAATTTATTTTTCAATAGTTTTTTGACACATTTCAATCACACATTCTTTAATAAAATAATATTACATACAAATTCAAAAAAATTTCTTATTTTTTTAACCACACATTTCCCATCAACGCACTATTCAAAAATTCATTCTTCCCAAAAAAAGGGGCTCAAACAAGTTTAACGGTATTTTGACATCATTTCAACCACACATTATTCAATAAAATAATATTATACGTAAATCCAAAATTTTTCCTTATTCTTTAACCACACATTTTCCATCAATACACTATTCAAAAATTCATCTTTTCCCAAAAAAAAGGAGCTCAAACAAGAGCTTTGAGCCCCATTTTTCCACCAAAATACATTTTTCAATAGTAATTTGATACCATTTCAACCACACATTCTTCAATAAAATAATATTATACGCAAATCAAAAATTTTTTCTTATTTTTTAACCACACATTTCTCATCAATACACTATTCAAAAATTTATTTTCTCCTCTAAAATGGGGGCTCAAACAAGGGCTCAAATTGTTTGAGAAATCCGACCTTCCATGCAATAGCCAATGCTAACCAGCTCGAAGACTGTCAAGAGCCAGATTTAAGGCCTGTCTAGACGTGCTTTTAAGCGTAATCCGGACCATTGGTAATTAAAAATCCGATCGTTGGCCAATTTTTTAATGAAATATGTCTGACATCTCTTCTGTCCAACAACAGGCAATTTTTCATGGCTTTTACAATATTACCCTCGCATTACATGCTCCACCAACCAACAGTCCAACACCATCTCTCTCTCTCTCTCTCTTCCATCACAGAAAACAGACTTCTCTCCCCAACCAGTCGACGAATCAGTTCCAGATCCGATCACAATATTTCTCCTCCAGATCCGGTTACAATAGTTCCAGATGAGTGATACCGTACCGAATTCGTCAACCTCCAAAACTCCTCCCAGCCATAGCCAAGCACCTGCGTGCAAGAATGCCCACTGGAATCGACATGAGAACCAACTTTTCGTTGTCGCCTGTGAGACGGTTATAGCCGACGGTCATCACAACGGAAAGTGCTTCACGAAACACGGATGGGACCAAGTCATCCGGCTGTTCAACTCCAACTCCGGTCAC